ACGATGTCTGCGTTATAATCGTCCAATCCATTTACTTTCAAAATAATAATAAAATGGGGCTTGGTAAGACCCACACAAAACATATCAGTAGGTAATTGGTTGCATATGTAATTTCCTATAAAATAGAAATATACCGATATGTAAGTTCCTACACGAACAACAATACACTAACGTGTATAATTCTCTRTGTAACTCATTGTAGCTCGMTGTGGATACAACGCGATTATTATCTACTTATCTCCATTATCTACAAAGTACCACAAGATATAAAAATGAACGTAATTTAATGTACGTACAGTGAAATGGGAAAACATTTTTAGTTTATAATAATTATAAATTTTATAATAAAACACACCGCTAAATGTATTAATTATTATAGATACATTTTTTTTCGCATAAGAAGTTATATACTAGAACGTCTAAACCTATACTTTTTTCGTGTAGGAACTTATAAGTTTGCATAMCTAGGGGTAGTTTTAACTTGCTWTATCTCGTTTGGGAACTTCACACTTTTACAGTAATTGCCAAGTAAAATGTAAGATAGTAACTTAGTGTAATAATTGATAACTAACTAATTTAAAACGTTTTAAAAGCTAGAATATTCTGAATGAAGTTGACAACTTTTAATTTATATACTACGTAATAATAAAATAAATGGTGACCTGAGCTATTGTTCCAAGAACTGAGTGTGTCGATTCACATGTACTTATAGCTTTTTCTTTCATTTCATTGATCTGTATTTTGGCTTTAATTTTGGAAATGTCCGGATCGTGATTATAGTCCATGTATTTTATTATTTCACCATTAGATACAAATCTTCTACATTTTTGTTTATATTGCACACACCACCAAATGTTTTTTTCCGGCTTATTACATTCAAGCTGATACATGTATTCACCATCCACCAAAATGTAATGTTGGTGCTTCTTTCACTTTTTATATATTAAAAACTCATAATTAAGTAAATTATAATTTAATAAAATGAAAATGTTGTCGAAAACGTTGTACACTTTAAATTGTCACGCTATGAATTGACCAATATCTATTGATGGTATACCAATTAAATTATTCAAGACTTTATTAATTTTTTATTTCCAAAAAAGCTTATCCTTATCCTTACTACAGGATATTACTTATCCTGTTCACATTTTGATTTTCCAACAAATGAATAATCTATGAATATTTTAGAAAATTGAATTTAAAAAAAAAAAAATTATACTAATTTAATTTATAGGTAGGTATTATAATATATTTTATARTATAGGCTACTACACTAATCATAATTTGGCATAATAATTTAACTTTTAAATTTAAGTCTAAAAGCATTCACACATGTACGATATTTTAAAATGTCTGGTCATGTATTATCAGATGATAAATGATGCCAAAATAAAATTATACTTTGAGAGAGGCAATGTTGAGGGTAGAACATAAATTAAAATTAATTTTTATTTTTATTGAAAAAAAGTTTATATATTTTAAATCTGTATTTACATTTTATACAATAAGTAAATTTGATGATATTTGATTGACAGGAGAGGTATGTTATCTAGTATTTCTAATTGTGTTTAAATAAATATATAAATCAATGTATCTTTATGCATGTATAATTATAAAAATGTGGGATTTTATATAATTGAAGCGTTTTATGTTTAACCGAATAACATCACTTACCATAATGAATGTCATGGAGATTAGAAAAGCGGCTCTCAGCTCAGAAACGGAATTATGTTAAAACGTATATTGCATATATTATTACGTTATACATTGTGATATCCTAAAAGTTGAGCCTATGTTTCACATCCATATTATATAGATTATAATGGAATTATATTATATTTTAAATATTACGCGCATATTTTTATTCAGTAGACTGCAGACACAACTCGAATGTAATAATATTTTTTTACTTGCAGCATTTTGCTTAGTACACAGGTATTAAAATAAATCGTGTAAAATTTCCATTCGAAAAACGAATTAATTCATGTAAAACTCTGATATTTATAGTAATCATTATGATAATATAACTTATAAGTAAGTTTAATGCAAAACTTAAGTTTTCGTGGGAGACGAAAAAGTAATAAAAAAAAAACAACGGCGAGGACAAACATTATCTACTGATCAATGTTATTAAACCAAATTGTTACCATTTTTTAGACAATCTGACTTTCATTAAAGTATATTATAGTATTTGAAATTGAATAAATTATTACTGCTTCATATAAGTATTATACTTGCAGTAAAATATGAATATCTATTGTTTCTATTGAATGAATTATTATTTTATAACCATATAACAGTAAGAAATATATATTTTTAAATATTTAAAATTAAGAGCTACATATAAT